CCACGTTACAACCTTCAAAAGTCCTAATTGAAGCAAGGTTATTTTGAAAGCATACTTCAATGAGATAGTGTTCCTGACTCCCATGAATGTTCTAAATAGTTATGTTGGTATCATATGTTTTTCCTACACAAAATTAAATGGTGCTCTAACTCGCAAAATTTGTGCGGTATCTTTCCAAAATCTTCAAGACTTACATAACTGTTGCATTAGAATTTTCATTCTCATAATAAAATTTTCTAACTGCAAAACATTTGTTTGATATCAAGGAAACTCACATATAAGCACCAGTGATGAGTCTATTCTTAAGGCCTGAAGCTCTGTTGAGTAATTGGCGGATCATTTCAAAAAAAATCATACGCAGGGGCATGTCACCTGAAGACCATAAGCACGAACATGTTGCTTCTCCCAGTTAATGCTTTTCCCAACTCGTTTGCTCGTTTGGGGCAAAAATTCGAAGACTTTGTTGTGCCGACTACAGTCAATCCGGGGCAATCACGTCGAGATTTGATGAATTCCTCTAAGAGTTTGAAGACACCAGAGCATGGTGAATGCCAGGTCTTTTGTAAAATCCTCTTGAGACGATTTCTCTTCATCAACCAGATATCTTGGGGCATGTTAGAAGTGAAGCCATTCGCAAGAATTGTCGTGCAACATGCAGCCCATCAGCAGTAAGCTTGGGGCATCCAAAATTGGTCCCAGGGGCAATCTAGATTTGTCAAGATATGTGATATGTATTGCACACATTATCAGAGGGTGGTGTTCCCATTATCTTAAGCTAAGCAAGACTTCTTTCCAGCTGAAACTTTGTTTGTGTTGTTATCCTTTTCAATGGATTGTTTGCAATAGAAGACTGGACTTTGGGTTTTCTACCTGAAAATATCTTCCTCTCCAAAGAGATTTAAGCCTTGTAAAAGGACTTTGCTCCAATGATGGCTTTTGTTTTTATCTCCAGTAATGTTCCCCTTTTGTTGAGATTAGCTGAACGTCGGGTTGTACTGGGACGTCTTATCATCTTCTGTCTATCTCCCCTGTCTGTCTTGTCAACATATATATGACATTCATTCATTCGTTCATACTTGCATCATGCACGCACATTTGTATTTGTTGATATCTTTGAGTTCGTATACCTTGGTTATGTCTATTCAAATAGCATATTTGATCTTTCCAAATAGAGTGTCAACTTAAGCAGAAAGTGCGCCTCTTTTCTAATTCCCCACTGAGTTAACTCTCATGGAAGAATCTTGCTTTAGCTTTCCTTTTCCATCTCTGGATAGGATAAATCCCCATTTGAGTTGTTTCCTCATTGGGTGGAGTCTTGTTTGACTATTTTCTCTCCAGTTTATTCCTGGATTGAGCTTTGTCTCTTATGAACGATACCCTGTGGATCTCTCTAGGCCGTGAAACCTAGATGGAGAGTACATTTATTTTGCAATTCAAATAGTTGGTCTTCTCAGGAAGGATTTATTCATGGTTCCCCATTGGAGATGAACTTTATTCCCCAGCAGTGTTATCACAACCTTCTTCTGGAATATCGACATGACAACAAGCGACTGACTCTTTATTTGAGCAGTTCGATTATTTCGGATTTCTTTATGTTATGACAAATGGCGGTCTCTTCATGAGCAGTTTGTCCATCCTCGATGAAATTATTGGTTCTCACCTCCAGCAATATCTTCACGATATTTTATGGGTATCTTTTTGGGAAACAGCAAGCGACAGTCTCTTCATGAGGCAACTTGTGTGTTATGGATACTCTTGACAAACAGCAAGCGGCGGTCTCTTCATGAGCAACTTGTGTGTTATTGTTATCTTTGAAAAAACATCAAGCGGCGGTCTCTTCACGAGCAACTTGTATGTTATTGATACCTTGAAAGAAACAACAAGCAGCGGTCTCTTCATGAGCAACTTGTGTGTTATTGGTAATTTTGAAAAGAAACAGCAAGCGGCGGTCTCTTCATGGACAACTTGTATGTTATCAACACTTTCAAAAACAGCAAGCGGCAGTCTCTTCATGGACAACTTGTATGTTTAAAAACAGCAAGCGGCGGTCTCTTCATGAGGCAACTTGTGTGTTATGGATACTCTTGACAAATAGCAAGCGGCGGTCTCTTCATGAGCAACTTGTATGTTATTGATACCTTGGAAAAAAAATCAAGCAGCGGTCTCTTCATGAGCAACTTGTATGTTATTGATACCTTGGAAAAAACATCAAGCGGCGGTCTCTTCATGAGCAACTTGTATGTTATTGTCACCTTTGAAAACAGCAAGCGGCGGTCTCTTCATGAGCAACTTGTGTGTTATTGTTATCTTTGAAAAATGGCAAGTGGCGGTCTCTTCATGAGCAGCTTGTACGGAAAATGGCAAGTGGCAGCTTATCTATTTGAGCAACTTGTGTGTTATTGTTCCCTTGAAAACGACAAGTGGCAGCTTCTTTATGAGCAGCTTGTGGGTTATTGGCAACAAGTGGCAGACTCTTCATGAGCAGCTTGTGTGCTTTGATATCCTTTGAAGACAACAAGTGGCAGCTTCTTTATGAGAAGCTTGTGGGTTATTGGCAACAAGTGGCAGACTCTTCATGAGCAGCTTGTGTGCTTTGATATTCTTTGAAGACAGCAAGTGGCAGCTTCTTTATGAGCAGCTTGTGGGTTTTTGGCAACAAGTGGCGGACTCTTCATGAGTAGCTTGTGTGCTTTAATATTCTTTGAAGACAGCAAGTGGCGGTCTCTTCATGAGCAGCTTGTATGTTATTGACACCTTTGAAGGGAAGCAAGTGGCGGCCTCTTTATTTGAGCAGCTTGTGTATCCCCAACAATAATGTCTACTCAGCAAATGGCATCCCTTCGGAAAAGTCCCGTGGGGAAGTTTGTTATTTTATCCTTTTCAAGCGATCTTGGTTAAAGAAGAAATGTGTTACCGTTCTTGGTAAAATTCAGAAATCAGAGATGTTTATCTCCAGCCACAGTGCTGATGTCAATCATTTTGTTTTCCAGCCACAGTGTTGATGTCAATCATTTTCCAGTCTCAGTACTGATGTCCATCATTTCCTTTCCCAGTCACAGTGCTGATGTCAATCATTTTGCTTTCCAGCCACAGTGCTGATGCAAATCGTTTCTTTTTCCAGTCTTCGTACTGATGTAAATCATTCAAGAGTCTCTCATTTGAAGTCTATTACTTTGTTTCCCCAGTGGAGTTACAACCTCTTCCTCTGTGGGATTACTGTATAATATGCTTGGTTTCTCCAGCATAGTTTGTCTCATATGGCGTCATTCCCCATAAAATTCAAAACATCACATTCATATTATATCGTAAACATAATCGCGGTATCTTAAGGCCAAAAATTGTGTATTCTATATTTAAGTCCCTTCCATCTCGTCGAAATGAAGATCCCAATCTTCATATCTCCAGATAGAAGAAACTTAAATAGGGGCAGCTGTTGTACCCCAATTTTTGACCTAAGATCCCATTTTTATTTTTGCATTTTTTAAGATAAGTCAAGGTCACTAAATACAGTCGGTTTTAACGTCTCACCTTCGAGCTTTGACTATGCGAAGATTGTTAAGTGTTTTGAACATTTTTAGCATATGTATCACTAATTTCTAATCGCACACAAAGGTGTATGTTCATGTTTTCTTTTGTGTCAGGTGCAGAGACAGGTCTGAATCAAGAGCATCAGGTGTCGCGCCTCAATTAAGGTTTTGAGTCCCCCAAGCCCGAAGTACGGTTGATTGCGGATTCTCGAAGACTGATTCATCAAGGCACAACCGTTGCACCCTTAATTTCGCCCCTAATATGTTTTAGTCGCACTTTCAGATCATATTTTGTTATTTGGTCACGATCATTAGTAAATATCTTCATTCATCACATTTCGCATCATTAGTCGTATTTAAGTTGATCAGAAAAAGTCAGTTTAAATCAAAGTTTGCATCGTCTTTCAGCTGTAAAATACTCGACATTTCACTTCATTCATTTTTATCTGTTTACTATTTTTCTTGCTCTGCTCCAAGTTGTTTATATGTCAATAATAAAAATATTTTGGTTTTATAGACAGACTGTTAAAAGCGATTCAATATTGTGCGAAAAGATAGCGAGAAAAATATTTCAAGTTTTCACCTCTTACCGATCATTTTATGAATCTGCATGACGCGTAGATTATGACGGTATGCTCGCTTTATTTTTTTCGGTATAGTTTGAAGTCTCGTTTTTAACCGTAAATGTCCGTATTAGCCTGATATTTTATCATTTTATTTTTGACTTCTTGAAAAAAATTTCTTTAATCTTTGTGACATGTAGATTAGTTTAATGTGTTCATTTTATTTTTTCGGATATATTTTCGTCCGTTGTTTATCATTTTCGGTCACTTTGGGTCTTTATTTTTATTCAGAAAAATTCAAAAAAATATATTTTAAATTGCATTAATTTGTACACTTTCAGGTTTTTAAATCATTTTTATTTTTAGAGGGATTTTTAATCATTAATTTTTTGTTAAAACTATTCTTTTTTCTAATTGGTTGCAAGAGGTAGTGCAGGATTGATAAATTAGAAAAGAGAAAGAACAACACCATAAACCAACACTCCCTCCTATTTTTCAATCCACACAATCTTTCCCCCCCACAATCAAAAAAACTCCCGCCTGCATACATCCAATGCCCAATATATTTTTTATTTTTATTTTCCATCCTCTCTCCACATATAACTTCCTTCACTTTCTGTCAAAAAAAAAACACAACACCAAATTCTTTTTTTATTAGAACACACAGTAGCATCATATCCACATTCATCTCACTTTTTTTTCAAAACAACAACAACCTCCGTTGACCTCCACCACTTACTCACGTTTTTATCACAAAACAAAATCATTCTCATATCATCATCTCCAAACGCAACTATGCTTACAATGAAAAGTAACAAGAGAAAAAGAAAGATGGTTTCTCGAGTCTGAATACTCGTGGTTGAGCCTCGACCCTCAGCACCGAACCATTCCACCGCATCCACTACACCGCATGACCGATTTGCATCAGCAAACAACACAGTCATCGGGAATAACCGTAGATCCGGCCACCACACGAATTCGACGGTGCAGCTGCCGTGACCCATCAACTCCTTCCATCATGCTCAGCTACCACCAACAGCCGTCCTCAAACGCCGCCTCCATTGAAGGTCCCTTCGTCCAAACCGAAGCTTCGATCTCGCGCATTGTGGCCATCGCCGATCTACCACCTCCCAACGCTTCGTCTCCGCCGCCAACAAAAGGGAAATCACACAGTATGTTCATAATATGATTTTGATGATTTGAGGTTTATGTGTTTTGTTTGTTTGAAAATTGGGTGTTTTTATGAAAGAAATAAATGACGTTTTTGGGTCGTTCAAAGAGAAGGGATATGCTATGTTTAAGAAGAAAGAGTTTTTTTTCATATTTCTTTGTTTACTGACTGCAATCTTTATTCCTCTCATGTTAATATTATTTTTGTTTGTTTTTATAACTATTACGCCATGTGTCGTAGTAATATTGATTCTTAGTTTGTTTTGAAATAAACGTGTATAGTGAAGATAGGAGTACACTGCCTGAAGTTTCTTTCTTTTCTTAATTAGTTAGTTTTACTTTTTTTTTTAAAATTTTAATATCATCTTATTTTATTTTATTATTTACTTTAGTTTTATTATAATTCAGATAGAATTGGCCATGACGCTTGAGGTCCTTTTGTTTTAAACTTCATTTCTTTATGTTTCAAAAAAATAAAAAAATATATAAGTAAATCTTATATTTAGATTTAGTTTAGTATTAATTTAGAATTTTTTAATTAGTTTAGATGTATTTTATAATTTTAGAATATTTAGAATCATAATTAATAACTTTAGAATTTTAATTTAATTAGATATAAATTAGTAATGTTAGAACCTTTAATTAGTTTAGGTATATTTTGATAACTTAGGAATTTCAATTTGTTTAGATCTATTTTATAACTTTAGAATTTCTAATTAGTGTAGATACATTTTGATAACTTTAGAATTTTAATTTAGTCTTAGAATTTTAATCTTTAGTTTAGAATTAATTTAGTTTAGTATTAATTTAGATTTATTTTATAACTTTTTGTTTTAGCTTTAGTTTAGTAAACTTTAGAATTTTATGTGTTGTAGTATTATTTTAGTAATTTTAGGATTTTATTTCATTTAGATTTGACTTAGTAAATTTTAGAGTTTTATTTGTTTTAGTTTTGACTTAGTAAACTTTAGAATTTTATTTTGTTTTAGTTTTATTTTAGTAACTTTAGGACTTTATTCCATTTAGATTTGACTTAGTAAATTTTAGAATTTTATTTGTTTTAGTTTTAATTTAGTAAACTTTAGAATTTTAGTTGATTTTATTTAGTAAACTTTAGAATTTTTATTTGATTTAGAATTAGTTTAATAAATTTATAATTTTTATTTGATTTAGAATTAGTTTAAATAGTAAGTAATTTATAATTTAGTTCGAATAACTTCTTTAGATAATTAGTTATATTCCTTTTTATTTATACATTTCTGTCATTTCAATTTCTCGGTGCCGCTTGATCATTAATTTGTTTTTGTCAGATTTATTTTCTTGTGAACTTCTGAATGTTTATATTTTGATGTTCATTTTATTTTGCTTACTCCAAGGGAAAGAGTTAAATTTGTTGACTTCACGTCATCAAATACATCTCATCCGATCGTGCGAATACCCTTTTTTTTCATTTTTTTTGTTTGTGTACTATTTTGCTAAACTCGAGATAATTTCCTCAAAAGACTCCTTTTTCAAACTCACACCTTTTTAAGTCAAAACTTCGACACTAGGTCGTCGCATCTCCAAAAATCTCGTCCATACCCATCTTTTAGCCAAACAAATCATTTTAATCAAACAAACAATTTTAACCAAAAACAGATATTTCAAAAGGTTCCTGCGGAGTACCGCAGATGCATTGGGTGCTAATACCTTCCCATTGTATAACCAACCCCCGAACTCTCGATCTCTTTCAAAAACGCATTGTATTTTTATTACTTTTAAGTATTATTTTACATTGCGTATTTTAGGGTTTTATTTCGCTCTTTTCCCTTTTCCCTTGGAAATAATAAAGCGCGGTGGCGACTCTTGCTTTTGTGAGTCAAGTTAATTAATAGCTTGATCTCCGATTTTCACCGCTACAGAATTGGCGACTCTGCTGGGGAAAGATTGACCTCTTGCTGGTCCATCCCTAAGTGGGTTAAGCCTAATTTGTTTTATCTGTTTTACCATTATTTGATTGTTTGATTATATGTATATATTATGATCATTTGGGTGTTGATAATAGTTACAAAGGACAAGTCCTATACCCGGACTAAGTTACACTTAGGAATAGGACGGGCGGTATAGTCATGTTAACTTTGAGGGAGTAATCCCGAAGAAGGAGGCATGAGATCCCCCACTCAGTGGAAGGCCCTTTTGAACGTAATATTTGTTTACCGAGTAATCGGGAAGACATTATTATTTTCGACCTGGGAGCCAGAGAAGCTGGGAACCGTAGAACCCTAACCCATCTTGGCCTTTTAGGTGTAGCGCGGAGATTATAACGGAGTAATCCGGAAGTAATTGTTACGCGATGCTACGCTCGGATGAGTTTCTCTTGAGAATATTGCTGATTATTGAGTAATCAAGACGTTGGTAATATCCGAAGGAGGAATGTAGACTCCGGGAACTCTTAGAACCTTGTTCTACAGGTGTGATTAAACCGTTAGTACATACCTTAGGGGTGTTCCTTACCTTGACTCCATGCTCGTGACGTTGAACCTTTCGACTTTATTTATGACCTTGCTTGTGGTTGTTGCATAACCATGCATTCATGCATCCATAAAACCCTTTTCACTCGATTTTCAAGGAATTTAGAAGTCTTTCTTTGTAAACATCACAAGTTTCGTCAAGCTTAATGGATCTTGGGTATTGATAGGGCGAAAACCCTAATCCACCAAAATGGATGATTGATCTTGATGATAACTTGATCAATGTTTGGAGCCAATTTAAAATTCATCTTCTATCTTCATACTTTGATGTTTACAACTTAATATCTTGAGTTCCTTGAAAATCAAATAAAAATTCTCTTTTGCATATCATACATCATTCTACATTTTTTTGTTTCACTTTCAAAGGTCTTTTTCCAAGTCTTATTTTTCCTTTGGTCTCACTAGTACAACACTCGCGCTAAGAGAACAATGGAGAATATCAAGCAAGAGATTTCTGAACTCCGCAGAGAGGTGACTAATTTGAAAGCTAGTATGGAGCACTTAACTGGTTTAGTTGAAATTCTGGTTTCCGCCCAAGTCAATCCTTCTAGGAGGGAGGAAGCGATGATAAAAGTCTTCACTGAAACTCTGAAATCATGAGAAGATGATAATTAATGCGCCTAGTGACTTTCCTGACAAGGTGAATATGGGAGTGCGTCTAGAAGAAGATGTTGGGAAGGGATGTTCATATGAAGATGGTAGCTCAGCTAATGGTGCGAAGAAGTTTGATAATAACTTTTCCAAGAAGAGAACCATAGGAAGAAATAATCATCGTCAGAATCATCACGTTTCTCTTATTCATCAACAGAATCAGCAAGTTCCTAATCAAAGGAAAACCCAGTTTGATCCAATTCCAATTACCTATACAGAGTTGTTCCCTATCCTGATGTAGAGGAATTTGGTTCAGACCCGACCTCCACCGAAGGTTCTTGAGAAAATACATTGGTACTACAAAGCTGATTTGACTTGTACCTTTCATCAAGGTGCTCCTGGGCATGACTTGGAGGGTTGCTTTGCTTTGAAGATTGAGGTTCAGAAGTTGGTCAGAAGTGGTATCTCGTCATTCAAGGACGTTGGTTTTGAAGTCCAAATCAAGCATGCGCCGAAGAGTAAACACGATTGATGGTCACTTTGAGTTTTGAAGGATGTTTTCGGTAATTCAAGTCCAAATGGAAAGCATTCCCATATTATTAACTTATTTATGCTTTTTGTATTTTTTCTTGTTTATCAAAACATTGTTTGCATGTAAGAACTTGTTTGCATCTGAATGATTATCTTAATACAATGGGTATGTTTGTCTTGAAGAAATTCATTCGTTTCACTCATATTTGTTTTCAAATTTTAAATTTCTTTTTGCATTATGATACCAACTTGTTGCCCATTCTCTTGCCTAGGCAGAGATTGAAGGGAGGATGATGATCTAAAGAACACAAAATCTCTGATTGTTTGCTTTTGGATAAAATCTTGCTGATGATGTACCGGCATTGTTTCAAATCCCTAAACACCGGAGATATAAGGAAGATAATCCCTTGCTAACCCCTTTTGAGCCTTTGAAGTAGAAGTTTCTTTTCTATACGAAAAAACCTTGAATTTTAACCTGGGGCAGGGTAGTTTTTAGTTAATCTGACTGAGTGTTCAAAATTCATAAGGAAGATGTTTTTTGAAGAGAAACTACGAGGGCTATCTTTCATGTATAATGAAGCCAGAAGATGTGGAATCATAATGTTATCCCTCATTCATCAAGAAACGAGGCAATCACAATCTTCTCAACAAGCAAATATAAGCTAATGTCACACATTTTGTTCAAAAAGTCAAAAATCGAGAAAAAAGAAAAAGCCTGCTAAGTCAAAAAACATGAAAACGTGTGACTTAGGCAAAATTAAGGCATCCCGCTGGACTATCAATTCAAAAGAATTAGTTCAGGAAAAAGTTAGGGAAAATAAAAATTGCAAAGAAAAGGACTGCAAAGAAAAGTCCTCAGCAAAGAACAAATTGGTGACTACAAACACGAAGACATGAGGTGTGTTTCTACTCCGAAAGCCTCGTCGTTTCCTTGACCGTCACAAAATCCTTTTGAGAGATGAACACTCATGTTGAATTAACTGAACATAGGGTTGGAGAACATCATGAAGAATGGGTGGGCACCAAATATTTTGAGCCTTAAAATCTTTTTTTCTAAAAAATCGTGAACCAGACCACGTTACAACCTTCAAAAGTCCTAATTGAAGCAAGGTTATTTTGAAAGCATACTTCAATGAGATAGTGTTCCTGACTCCCATGAATGTTCTAAATAGTTATGTTGGTATCATATGTTTTTCCTACACAAAATTAAATGGTGCTCTAACTCGCAAAATTTGTGCGGTATCTTTCCAAAATCTTCAAGACTTTCATAACTGTTGCATTAGAATTTTCATTCTCATAATAAAATTTTCTAACTGCAAAACATTTGTTTGATATCAAGGAAACTCACATATAAGCACCAGTGATGAGTCTATTCTTAAGGCCTGAA